CATGTGTTTCGATAAGTTGGTGCGGCCATCTTGCACATTAAACTGAAAGTATTCAAACTTGATACTGCGAATTGCCAATGGGAATAATATAGCGGGTTAGCTCGCTATGATATAGGAGTGAACGGCAAGCATTGGCATAGTGCGCAGCACCATGAAGTCGACGAAGCGCACTTATATTCCCAATACACGGAAAATACTACTTTTGTGTCTTGGGTGACGTTTGCTTTTAGGCAAAGGATTACCCACAACGCCCTCGTGATATGGTTTACCATTTGGGTGATTGGGTCTAATCTTGGAAAAATTTCGCTGTCAAGGTCCATAAATTTGAAGGTAATCGATACTCACAATTTAATTAAATGGGGTAATTCCCAAAGACTGCCTACCGCTGTCCATATTCCGACATTCCGTTGTCGCATCCAGGGCTACATTTACATTCTTCAGATTGGAACTAATAGTCTCCTCTAGATGAGTGCAAGTGCCCTCCACAAACACAAATATGTCCCCGGTAGTAACTGCACTGGAGTGCCTCACAAACATGGCCGATCGACCCCCCGTGTATGGTACACAGCTACCGTCGGTGGGTACTACTGAGCTCGTAGCAACTACATTGCTGGGACATCGCGCTGCGGGGAAGTCTGTGATAGCTACTTTCGAGAAGATAGATACGTCCTCAGGCAAGGGCTTCTCAGCATATCTTATCGAGCAATCCGCGACAAGGCAGTTTTTACATATAGCAGCATCGCCAGACACGTCGAAAGCCTGTAAATACACTTGATCGAATTTGTAGATGCGATTCTCCTCTGCGCAGTAATAGTCGTTGTAATAATGGATGCTGCCAGTTGTACCTCCGACGGGGTCAAATACGTATTGTGCGTAGAATTGGAAATTTCCGGGAATAAGCTGAGTACACGAGGGAGAGGTAGGAATTGTCCAGGAGCTGGATGCCGTATCTTCCAGACATCCCTCGCCAGTGTATACGGTCATGTTTATATCTTTCCACGTAGCAGCCCATACTGACGTGGCGTACAGTGCGAGGAGAGTGACCTTTTGTATTGACATATTCTTAAGATGCTCAACGAGGATTTTTTTTGCCGTAGGTCTGAGTTCTGACTCGTATGTTGTGGGTTTATGTATGCTGATAGAATTCGTAGCACAGTAGAATGAGAGAGAGAGAGTCTGAGAGAGAGAGAGATAGAGAGAGAGAGAGAGAGAGGAAGGAAGGAGAGAGAGAGAT